GTTAAATTTAACTTTATTATCACATAAAACATAGCAACTGAGATGGTTTTGTATCAGTTCCTGCAGGTTCAGATCCTGGTCTCTTTCCCTGGCAGGTATTTCCAGCAGTCAGACTTCAGACTGCTCCTACTTGGGTCTTCTGAAACACTTGAACCTGACGTCGACGAATGAGGTTCTACAGATAATGCGGCCTGTGAAGAACTGGACGACATCCACCCTCGTTCAGGTGGACATGTTGCTGTACGGTATTTTACAAGTGGTACGTGTTGTTTAAGGGTCAGCTCACCCAGAACCAGTGTGGGATGTAACTAAAGGAGGCTGTATTTACTCAAGTACTGTGCTTGCATTTGCATTTCAGACAGACATATTCTCCATTTAATTCCATTTAATTCATTCTACAGCGAGATAATTAACTTGTTAAAAAAGAAAATGAAAAACAAAAAGAAACTATTTCTTTCTTAATGTATTTAGATCTATTCAGTCATCAAACGTAAATTTAATTGATTTTAATAACTTGAATTTACTTGAAGTGAGCACTGTGCAACTGCATTATGTAGGTAAATATCAAAGTATCAGATCAGGACTCAACAGATACAAACATACACTCAGTTGCCGCTTTATTAAGTCCACTGAGCTAAATCTAATGCAGTCTGATACAACAGAGAGATTAGGCTTAATAACAGAAACACCTCTCTGTTGTGACAGTTCAACAGCCTCCAAAATCATCATCTAACACCTCTAAACCCTGTTGAAGGGACGATTTATCACATTCGTTTTAACTGGAAACAAAAACATATTTATTTTTTATATCTTGAGAGATCATTTTATACATGGTTGAACTTTAACTTTTACTTAAAGCAGAAACCACATACAGTAAATATATCAGACAGAGCTTTGGGGTCTGTGAAACCTGCATTCTCTACAATGACCAGCAGGAGGCAGCCCTATTACCATTCAATCTTATGGAGAAATAATCCGACTTCTCAGTTGATGTATGAGCTCAGTAAACAGTTTCCTGATGAGTTTCTGGTCTCAGTTTCTAGTTTCAAGTCTTCTTCCATACAGCATGATGTTTATTTAGTAACTGATGGTCCCATTTAGTCTAGTACATTTAAGTTAATGGTTTTATCAGTGTTTGTCTAAAAACCCTGAGAAAATGCCCCCAAACCTGTCTGCATGGATAGAAACCGCTCAGATTTATCCTGTTTTTGTTTTACAGGATGAGATGTTTCAGACTGTCACGAGTCACATCTGGGTTCAGATGGTAAGAAATGATCGTGTTTAGTTCAAGAGCCAAAGAACTGAATTGCATTTTCAAACAATACATCAGCTGTAAGTTTACTGTGATAAACAATTTTAAAACTTTTTCTTTTCCCAGAGTTGGATGAATGAATTCCTAACTTGGAATTCTTCAGACTTTTGTGGGATAGAGAAGTTTACCGTTCCGATGTCGAGCCTGTGGACCCCAGATGTATCCATCCAAGAGGAGTATGTATTATTACTATTATTGTGTTAATAATTATTAATAACATAACTGCAGTTTATGGTTTTGATATTATTCAGAGGCGATTTATAAAGGTAAAGCTCAATGTAAAACAAACCTGAGCCCGCAGCAGACGGGATCTACTCAGAGTTTATACCATTCAAAGCACAAAAAAATTTTAACTTTTAAAGTCCAGGTAAGAAAAATAAAGACCAGACTCCAATGACAAAACCATTGACTTAACCTTGCAGATAATCGTAAAAAACATTTCAAATTGGGCTCAAACTAATTTTTTTTCACAATAAAACTCATTAAAACCGTCTCGTGTGTAGCTGTATTCCTACAATCACCAAATCTGGTTGGGTGGAATAAATCCTGAATTCAACCTGACGTAGGTTGATTAAAACTGAGCCCGGATGTTATCGTTGCCCGCCCACTCAGCTCCACTCTGAGAATATTTATTTTACCTTTTAATTCCCTCTTCTCTGTCTTCAGTGCCTCTGATACCGGGAGTATTCACAAAAGTCCACTTGGTCAAGTGTCCAGCGGTTGGGTGTACACAACCATCGCGGCTGACGTTATCACACTGGTCAATAAATCTCAGAGACTCCCCTTTGATAACAAGAAGTGTACAGATCAACATTTTCGTCCCATTAGACCATTTCTGATGTAAAATTGCCCTCAATTGTTTCACATCCAGAACGGCTTCAGAAATATGGATGATTTAAATACTTTTGACACCTAAATACAGCAAGGAGTCAATCCACCTAACGGAACAGTCAATAATTGACAAACAAGCTCTCCAACTATATGCCTCTGAGCGGTTCATGGTCCAGCACAGGGGGAGAATGGGCAGCTTGTTCAAAGGGAAAATTTCGCTCACTAATGCGACTAAAGGCGGCCAGAACCGAGATAAAACTTATATATAACGCGTATAGAAAATAACTTTGAATGAAATCTGACAACATTGTGATTCCCAAAGTCCTAATTAATTGCTGACTGTTTTTACTGTTTTTTTCCATCAAAAATAGATGGAAAGCCGATGCTTTGATGTGGTGATTTTAATTTGGTGCCCTGTTCTAATTTATTATGATTCCCTGATCGGCTCAATACATAACACACAGAGGCAACAGAGGAGAAAAACATGAGCTTCAAAGTGACCGTCCCTTCCTTTACACACACCAGAACAACAGAATCCTTCACGACATGTTGCCCTTCCACGAAGAACCCAAGACCAAAGAATGGAGTGAGCTGCGCTCGACTCACACAA